CAACAGAAATTAAAATTACTAATTAAAAACGATTACTTACAGTAGACTTAAGAATACAAAGATTAAATAAAGAAAACGATTTCCTTAAATTAACATTGGCCTAACATTGTCTGTAGAGCTTTCGAGGCTTAACATGGGCTTTTAAAAGGGGAAAGCAAAGCTTTCAATGGTAGTTTATCCAATTCACCGTTATATGCTTTCAGCATAGCTTAAAGCTTGAAAGTGTTAGCTTTTGGTAACGGTGAAAGTCTCGCAGTTACTGTTATTTTTGGCTTAAACCACAGTTAAGTTCTAGCTAAAAGCTTTCTGGCGACTAAGCTTTCTTTTTAAAAAGTTTTAACTTTTGTTTCTTCTTAATTTAAAACTATTTTTACTTTACAAATTATAGACTTACGTGGCAAATATTTGAACAAAAATATATTTAACATTTATTAACCCATTTGTGTCATGTTAACCTGTCAAACTCTTCCAATTATCAACATGCCATCGGCCCTTCCTAACAATTTGCCTTATATCATATCCGTCGGATATAACTACATTTCCGGAACAATAGCCAAAGCCAATTTCGAGGTGAACTACATGATGAGCTACGCGATAAAACTGTAGGAATCCGACTAAGAGGGGCAGACGTGGTGTAAGCTGAATAACTAATTGCGTAGTTCAGATTGTTTTTTATTTACAAAACCAAACTAAGTGTTCTTTTTCTAAGTTTAATAGTGATTTATATAATATTTTGCAAGGTATTTAATTACTTAACATTTAAAATATTTAAGTATGTAAAATAGATTGGGAAATGTTACATTTTTATATTTATTTTCAAAGAACTTAAAGAACTTTAGCAAAGTAAATAAAATTTAATCAAGAAATAATATATTTTCCTTTAAAATATTGTTAGTTTTCAATAATTTTAAATATACTTTAATTAATATTTAAATTTTTCTTATTCATTAAAGTCCTCAGCACCTACAGCCCATACGGCCCATGTAGTGTTTGCTCTTTGAACTATCAATAAATCGATCAATGTGTCAGATATTTGGTAAAAGTTTTAAGGTTTACGAAATGCTTAAGTTAAGGCTCAAAGAAAAGTGGGAAATATTGATATATTCAAAGCGATTTTAGAACGAAAATCTTCTGTGGGCCACCCTTTATATCTTCTGATATTCCAAGATTTCAAATTATTATTGGAATTTATTTTTGTAGAAATTATAAAATTTCCATATAAGAATGCCAATATTTATCAAAACCAATTTAAATATTTATTTTTTCTGCCTATTTTGCTATATTTTATAGTTTATATTATTCAGAAAATGACTTTCTTTATATAAAAAACCTGTCAGAGATTTTATCTTAAATATGTTTTCTATTTAAAAAAATGTATACAAAGTTTTTTAAGAAGTTTTTATTATTACTTGATGTTAAGGGCCATAGATTTTCCATTTTATTTTAAAATCAAACCAAAGATGAGTAAGAAACACATTTTATTCATATCATTAATTATAAAAATAATTTGTGTAATTCGTTAAAAGAAAGTCGCAGTAATTTATTAAGCAGACAAATCGAGCTAAATTGCGAATCAAGTGGCCGACCTTGGCGCGCCGCCACTCGAGAACATGCTTAACGGCGGGTTAAACTCTGGATGGTTAATACATTCGTTTTGATTATTTTCTGAGGGGGTCACGCTTTCGCCAATGACCCTGGTGTCTTGAAATGCCCGAGAATCTTTTGGATGAATAAATAAAAGAACTGCACGCCTCGATTTCGAGGCATGGCAAAGTGTTTACGCTTTTCGGTTTTGCCAATTGTTTTTCCTTCACCACCACCACCACCACCTCCCTGGCGAAATGCGTCTTAATGGAAATGTTTAAAAATTCTCATTGGGTAAAACAACAAATAAATATTCCCTGTAAACCGTAACGTTTGGTGATGTCTCTGAACACGATCTGGCTGGTTTGGAAATACATTTACTTGGTATCTTACTTACATATAAGGTGTATCTTTCCACTTCGCCACTTGATAGGCGAAACAGCTTTTCCCATTCGAAAGCCTCAAATAGTCCGATTCCCCTTCCAAGAATGCGGAACGCCAGAAGGCGGAGAGGGCGAAAAGTTTTTAAGAGCCGAAACAGCTGTTCATTTGGTGACTGACTTCCCGGCAATTACGGCGATTTTTCGCAAAGCGAGGCGGGGAAAAGGGCTCATCCAAATAGTTTGGATACACTTAAAAAGTAAAGCGTTCTTTAATGTAGAAAATTGTAGTTATTATCTATAAGGTAGAAAAGAGATATAAAAAATGGGGGAAAAGTTTGAAAAGTATTCTTAAATTAGTTTCCTTCGTTTGATCACATACTATAGGTAAGAGTTCTAAGACTAATATATAGTTTATGTAACCGATTTCTCACTTAATATAAGGCAAGAAAGATTGCTTTAAGCAAGCGAGACTATCAGATACCCATTACTTAGTTAATCGATTTCAAAACGAAAAAGCTAGCAGCAGAAAACGACGGCTATAATGTTTTATAGAGCCATCTGTTGGCAGAACCAGAAACTAAGGCATGCATAGCAACTGACTGCCCATGTAAAGCCTCCTAAACTTAACTTCTTACTAAATTGTGAAATAATCTTACAATTTGAGACATTTTTGACAGATCGCTAGGCTATAATTGAAAAAAGGTATATTTCTCAAATTTAAGTTAAAGTTAATATTAAGGGCGCCACAGTCTTTCACTTTTTGTGGGCATAAGATCGGGCATGGTCAGCTTTTGGTAATAAATCTAGCTGTGGTGGCAGCTTTAGAGGCTGCATGCTTTCTGGCCACTATCCAGTTTTTATAGTACTTAAGAATTTAGCGTTCATACGGACAGACGGACGGACAAACGGACAAGGCTAAATCCATTTGGCTATTAATTCTGATCAGGAATATATATAGTTAACTAGATCGAAAGGCTTTCCCTTTGGCTGTTACATACTTTTAAAGGAATACTTTATCCCTTTTATCCATTTCTCTACCAGTAAAAGGTATAATTACATAATATAAGAGGTTGCTAAGCTATACCAATCTAATTTAGCTTTAATTAAACTTCAGTTGCTGTAAAATAAGCACTAAATAAGTTTATTATATACATTTGTAAAATATTCTGTAAGTGCTGCAAAGTTTACATCTTTTAAGAGCCAAAAATATATTCTTAATTGGCTTTTATTTTATGATATTTCTTATCTGAAGGCATGAGTATTCTTAACAGATTTTCTAGCTTCTATATCTGCAAATTTCAATTATTTCCCGAAATTATATTTATACCTATCCGAGACTTGCAATAATTTACATAACACTCGTAACCAGACCTTAGACTTTTCCCAAAAGGATCCAAGCAACCTGTTGAAGTGCCCTGCAACCGGCAGTTGGAACTCGAGCCGCGTTGGCGACAAACATCGAACATGTTGCACGTGGCAGGCGGCAATTGTTTACTCAATATTCTCGACGTGCCGCAGAATTCGCCTTCAGAAAGCAAAATAAACACAAGTACCCTGAAAAGGTATCGTTTGTCAAGCGACAGTCGACACATATGTACACGATGTATATATATCTACATACGTATGTACATAGCCAGACCTGCTATGTACATTTGTATGTACACAGCGAGTCAGCGGCTTAAATAGCTGCTCTAAATAATAAATTCAATTGTAATCAGAATCGTTTATGTAAATATTCAAATCGTCAATTTGCCCGGGGAGTCCGGGGGAATTGTCCTCCAATAATCCGCGAGGCGGCCAAACTGTTGGGGGCAACTGTAGAGATGGCTGACGGTGGTGGTGGTGGTGGTGGTGGTGGTGGCGCGGGGCAGATGAAGATAAGCACCCCATTAAGATAACAATAAACTCAACAAGTTGTTCTGGAAAACTGTCAATTAGAACCACGCACTGTGGCAGCAGCAACAATTGTCTGAATAAAAACACAACATGCAACATGTTGCACGTGCGAACATCTCAATGGAATGCTGCCACAGCACTGGTGTAGATAGAGGCCTTAAAGCCCCTTTTACTATTTTTATTTTTAGTATTTTAATATTTTTTTTTTGACTTTTTAGCGTAAAATTTGAAATATTTAAATTTTAAAAATAATATTTATTATGATTTTTTAGGAATGAATGTTAAATATAGTTAACTTTCATTTGCTTTCTTTTTTAAAAATATTTAATACAGAAATATCCTAACAAGTTAGTTTTAACAGAAAGTTGATAGATTTCCAGTCGGAATTTGGGTGAAAGCGATTTCTGGAGCTCCCCGAATCAACTCTCAGCACATTTTTGCATCGCTATCTTTGCCTTTTCTCCAATTAAGTCTCTTTATCTGTGCAAAATACTTGTAGATAGATTTCTTATATTTGATTTTGGCAACAAAAAAAAACACCTTTCGTTCTAAAACAATAAAAAATATAAAAGCAACTGCGGTTTTTAAGGCGTAGAAAAATTGGAAAGTTGAAAAGCAAAAAGGGAAAACCATAGCCTCTACTTTATTGTTTTTCTTTAATAGCTGTTACTCGTAGAAGGCCCCTAAAACTTCCTAAACCTACCAGCTTTTCAAATTACTGATTTTAATAATTAAGATTTAAAAAGTTATAATAATACTTTAAGGTAATCAAAAGTTGTTGGAATCCTTAACGGAATCTACTCTTGATTTGTAATTAATAAAAATTATTAAAAATATTTTTATATCATCTTTAAATATAACAAATTTTCCACTGAAATTATTAAATAATTCGCCGATATAAGCAATATCTAAAACTTTAAAAATAAATCTTAATTAAATAATATTTAATGTAATTTAATAATAAATTTTAAGAAGCCCCCCTCGCAAGTGGCGCCCCGCCCGTAACGGAGTCAACGGCTCCAACGCAACATGTTCGAAGGTTCGGCTGCTCGTAGGTTCGTCGGCCGGCAGGTTCGATGCCATCGGTTGGGGGCGCCTTGGATCCGCTGGCATCCGCTGGTCAGTCGCTCGCGGAGCGTCGTCGTGAACGGTCAGCCAGCGCGGCTAATAACTAACTATATAGTGACAGTGCGTTACTGACTCTGATCCGAACCCGAATCCGAAGCCAGAACAAATTAACAATAATCAGAGCCAGAGCCTCAGAACAAAACCAAAAGAAGTAGAAGGCCCCACCTTTATTTTTATTCCTGTTGAGTGTTTCGAGTTTTTTTTCGAGTGAGTGCGGCGGTAAATATTTCGACCACCTACCTTTTTTTTTTGCTGTGCCAAGAAAAACCTAAAAAAAAAAAGAGAAATATTATACAAAATGAAAAACAAATCAGTGAAAATTGATCAATTGCTAAATTTATGAAATAGAAAATATGGAAAAATCAAAGAAACGAAATTAAAATAACCAAAAAAACATAAAACAAAAAAAAAAACAAAGGGGCAAAGACAGAAAGAAAGCGCTTTTATTATTTTATTTAACGATTTTTCTTCTTGCAATTTTTATTTTGCACACTTTGTTGTTGGGTCAGTTGGCGGCTTTCGCCACTTTACGAGCAACTTCCTTTTTTGGCCAGTGAAAAACCAGTCTGGCCAAGAGACCAGAGACCTCTCCTCTTGTCCAAATGACGCGGTGGCGGTGGCGGTGTCGGTGTCGAGGGTCCAAACATTGCAAATGTAAACAAAACAGAGCAGCAAACACCGTATTTGTTTATGACTTGGCCAGGATAAAGCCAAGAGACTTCGACTTCAAGGGCTCAAAAAAAAAAAAAAAAAAAATGATTGGTCTGCCTGCCAAAGAGAGCGCAAGAGATTCTCAAGTGCGACTCAAAAAAGTCCCCCCCTCTATGCTGAACGCCCGGTGAAAGTTTCCCAGTCGCAACTTAGAACTCTCTTCATTTTCGGGTTTCTTTATTTTTTGCTTGATAAATGAGTCGCTGGCATAGCCCCCGGGGCGGTAAATCATCTCTGCTTGTGGCACTGACAATTTCACAAATTTATATATTTGCCACAACACCGACCGAAACACTCACAGACGAAAGTTTTCCACTTCCACAGCGAATTTGACTAGCTGGAAAAGTCCAGAGTAGACAAAGTGGGAAATTGTCCATACAATATAGGTGTAAAATATTGTTATTGGGCAAATCGGAAGTCCCAGGGTGATATTTCAAGTTTAGATATTCCAAAAAGTATCGGAATAACCCCAAGATTTAAGCTATAACTATTTCCGAAAAGCATTTGTTATTCATTCGTATGGAAAATCCACTGTGTGGCCTCTAAGAAAAACTTTTGTTGTGTGGAAGTTTGATTTTTTTTAGTTTGATTTTTAAAAGAAATCTTTGGTTTTATGGCTTGCACTTAAGTTTCTGGCTTTTTCTAGTGACTTTGGTTTTCTGTTATTATAAATTTGATTTTTGTAAAAAATAAAAGTGAAATTACTTAACTTAACAAGTCAAATGGTGATTTTATAGAAAGATTAAGTTGGAAATTTGTTTATGAACATCCTTTAAGCCTCCATCCTTTATTTAACATTCCAGAAAATATCTTAAAATCTCTTAAAAGTTTCTAAAATATTCAAAGCCAAACTGAAGTTGCCATTTTAATGCCTTAAAAAAAGTGCAAAATCTCAACGAACAAAGATATTTTCTTATAATTTGTTTACTTGGCCATATGATATATCAGATATATACATAACGTTAGCTATATCCCATCCAGGGGAGTCACCAAGGGGAGCTTCCATTTTTTGTTATTGTTTTTTTTTCAACTGGAGAATTCTCGATGTGGGCTCTCGGTTTTTTCTCCGCTTTTCGCTGACGCCGCAACTGCCGTCGAATGGCAATCTGGAATATGCCAGGCAGATCCAATTGCATGCCACATATGCAGATGTAATGGGAGAGTCGGCTGCCACCCGCTTCTACCGCCTGTCCCCACTGGAAATAGGACCCCCCCTTTAGAGACCAACAACCGCCCCGCTACCGCTAACTGTACCGCTCGCTGATCTGCTTGCCTCATTGCCGGTTAGAAAGCCAATGGAACGAGTTTCGTTGAGTGTGCAACTAATTTTCTAAATTGTTGTCGCTGCTGATCGTTGAGCGTGGCAAAAAAACAAAAAAAAACTAAACTAAAAAAAACAAAACTAAAAAATATATAAAAAAAACAACACATATTATTTATGCCTCACCTGTCACCGAAATTGTTCATCAGTTTGTTGGCATTTCTTGGTAGACGTCTAGAAAAACGTTTTTATCAATGACTTTTCAATCAGATTGGTTCTAAATATATATCTTTATGGTATATATAAACACGTTATGATCTTACTTAAAAGTGATTTCATTTTGCCTGAACGTGTTTTTATTGATAATTTTATGAAGTGATTCATAAGCTAGTTAAATGAAGTTTTTAAAATATTCATAAAATATTTATGCGGGGTGATAGGTTGGTGGATTGTAAAAGATTGCTTAACTTTCTCAGATGATGAGCTATATAGCCGAAGAGAGAGAGAGAGAGAGAGATTGGAGTTATAGGTAATAGAAATATCAAAGTTTTAAAAGGAGATAATGATAATGGATCAAAGATTTCCTAAACATAAATCTGTTATATTCCAACTTTTAGAAATATATAAGACCAGCAGAGAGTGGGTGATACTAACGAGACTTATGATAGGTTTGATCCCACTCATTCATCATTGCGAAGATCGAACTGTCATTTCCAGCGATTGATTGATTGAATTTTAATAAAAATCTTTGATTTCTGATTTATTTTATTCCTGTTTTTTTTGTTTTTTTTTTGATCGGCTTTTTCTTCTTGGTAGTGCGTCGTCATCATTTAATGGTGTGGCAAGAAGAAGCATTACCAGAACCCATAGAAGACGTTCAAGAAGAAGAAAACAGGCAGAGAGAGAGAGAGAGAGAGCGATAAAGAGAGAGGAGTTAATGGATTAGGAAGCGAGCACAAAGAAGAAGTAGAATCGAATCTCGGCTACTTGCGACACTCGCCCTCTCCCTCCCACTCCCACCTGAAGAAGGTGGCCCAGAAAGAGAGCGAGAGGGGCTAGCTAGAGAGACAGCAAGAGAGAGAGAGAGAGAGAGAGAGAGAGGAATTTGATGGCCAAAGGAAAGGTGAAAAGAGGCAACTTGGCTTAGACGATGATGATGACTGTTTCTTATATGTATGTGTGTGGACAAACAGGTATCACACACACACAGACACACTCACACCTGTGTGGAATAACTAAGCAGCGACCCGATTTTCAACAGAGAAAGAGAGAGAGAGAGACGAAGAGAGAGAGAAGAAACAGAGCCAAGAATCCATGCCATGCGCTTACAAATCTATAACAAATCTACCACGATTCTACAAGCCAAAAGAGATTTATAATAGAGATCATTTGTATTGGAATTATCTGAATTTTTCTAGTTCTCAAAAGTTGGAAGATGAAAAGCAGATAGTTTTGGCTATGGTCCTTTCTTATTTACAACTTTTATAAAGATGTAAAGTTCTTCTGTTTAAATTCTTAGCATAAAGTTAGAAACACAAACTGTGGGGACACGTGTTAGATGGGAAATTAATGTTCTAACAATAAGTTTATAGGATTTTTACTATTCAACTTAAACATTTTTAAGCCCTTTCCCTTCTGGCATCCCAAACATTATCCATCAGTTTAAAGATTAAAAACATTTGGAAATTCTTCATGGAATAACCAAGCATTTTCTAACTTCTAGACTTTAAATATTAAAAGATAAATCTTTTCAAAACTCAGCTACTATTGCCACTGGCTCAGACTTACTTGGCATTCTGATTACGTTTACACTTTGTAGTGGTTAAAAGTGCTTCCAGAATGCTTTTCGATCCTCCTAATTAGTTCTTTAAATGCTGATTGATGGAACTCTATTCTTTGGCTAGCCAACTGATATATATATAACTTTATATATAGCCCAGCTATATAGGCCGAAAATCGGTATGCAAAAACAAGAACAAGTGGTCTTCATATGTAAAACTGTTCTCATTAAGTTCTCGACAGATCATAATGATGTTTAGCCCCCACCCGCTCTCATGTTAGCTCTATCTCTTTCATACTTGTGTGTATGAAATAAGATTTTATTTTTTTTGTGATTTTGCCGGTTGCCACACCTGAAATTCAACTCTCTCTCTCTCGCTTGCGCCAACAGCAGCAGCAGCAAGAACAAGAACGTCTAAAACGAAAGACTTAAACGACATACGTGTCTCGGGCTGACGTCGTCGTCGCCGCTCGCTCGCTTGCCTGCTCTGCCTCTCTCTCTCTCTCTGTCTTTTACTCCTCCGCTACCTCTCTCTCGCTCACCGATTTCTGTGTTTTTTCTCAGTTTTTCAGTTGGTTTCCAAAGGCGCGCCGTCGCAGTTCGAAAAACGCGGCTCTCGCCAGCGAAAAGAAAACAACAACAAAAGAAATCGAATTAAAAAATTTATTAATTTTATTAAGAAAAATCGCTTAGAAAGAGTTTAGAACGCGCGCGTTGAGAGGAAAACTAACGAGAAAAATTAGAAATTTTTTTTTAAGTGCTAACAAAGTTTGTGTTTTGTTTTCATTTATTTTCTGTTTTCTGTTTTTGTGTTTGCCCTTTTGCCTGTTTCGTTTTCGGTTTCTGTTTTGGTTCTGTTTTTCCCATATTTTCTTCACATTTTACCTGTTGTTTTGGGCCTGCAAGGAGCAACAACAACAACAACAACAACAAAACGGATCTATTAAGAATGAAAATTAAAGAAAAGTGCCAGCACAAGGATTCTCGCTCTCCCTCGCACTCTGTGGCTCAATAGCTCTCGCCCGCTCTCTCTCTCTCTCTCTGTGTGTGTCTTACACTCTGGATTACGCTCTTCATTTTGGCAGCGACAGGTAAGCAAAAACAATAACAACCAGAAAATCAAAAGAAAAAACAATTTTCTTGTAATTTTAATTGGAAAACGTGTTACGTTGTGAGAAACCATGGTGGAAAATCTCTTGGAAAATGTTAAGCAAACGAAGACATGTGAACTGCAAGAAGTAGAAGCTGCTGCGCTTGCCGGTCGAGCGGTAAATTAAGCAGCACCTCCCCCAACCAACCACAACTAACCGCCCCTCCCTCTGGCTTTATTATCTAGTACGTTATGGTATTTGATGTGCCATCTGTAAATCAGGTTCTAAAGGCTTTAAGTCATCTAGTTTTGGTAGTTGTCAGTGTTAATTGGTATTAACTAACTTATTAACTTTATAATCAAAGGAAAATTCAAAGTTTTTAGCAACTTTTTCTAACGTTCTTTCACCTCTTCTAACTCAGTTTTCTTAGAAGAATCTTAAGAATCCATACAACCATCACTCACTTTCTTTTTTTTTTAGATAAATCTTAAAAATTCTTAGTTTCTTACTTTCTTTAATTATAATTAGTATTTCCGCTTATTAATTTAACTTAAAAAAAAGGTATCTTCAACTTGCCTTTCTCAGACTCTTTCCAATTTGCGGTTGCCTTCTTGTTTGTTTTTGTTCTTCTCGCAACTTTAGTGGCATTCCCTTAACGCTCATCAACTCGTTTGTTGTTGGCCTGCATTTTCTTCGCTTTTCAGTTTTAGCCCCCAACCCCTTAGGGGGTTTCCACCCTACAATCCTCCGGCCACCCATACCCTTCAACCGCCCCAGGAGCTGGGTGATTTTCCCCTTTCGTTATGTCTCATTGCCTTTGCTTGTTCTGCCCATCCCATTTCCGATGGCAATGCATTTGCTGGTAGCAAATCTTAGAACATTTTTTAGGGGGAAGCCAGCATCTTGCTGTCCTTCTTTGACATCTTTCTTCTCTTTCAAACTCCGTGTGTGTGTGTGTGAAATGTTTTTGTTGTTTGTTTGTTGCCGCTGATTAAATTGTTTGAGAACTTTCGTTTATAATTTGATGCCCGCTTTCACCCTCTGCTTGAAAACTCGCTACCCACACGGCGACTCAGCGACTCGGGGACTTTCGCCCGGAAAACTCTAAACGCACCGCCCACCGCCCACTATCCAACGTATTTAGTTTCGTTTCTGTGTGCAATTAGGCAGCATTTATCTCGTTTAAATTTGCGGCAGTTTACGAAGCTCAGCGGGTCCCGCTTATCACGAAAACCCAAAACAAAGCACAAAAGATACATGAAAGGAGTACACAAAGAGAAAAAAGGTGTGATTTGAACTTACTGATTTCTGTATACCAAGAAAATGCTTTCTTCAAACTTTTCTTTCAAACTTTTAAGAAATACTTTCGGTTTTTGCTCAGTGCAGGGGCGGCTGTTGACTGATGAATGCCGGGCTAAATTTAACTTAGAACTTTTCGGAGTCTCTGGAAAACTCAGATCTGAGAAGGAGATGTGTGTGTGTGTGTGTGCGAGGTGGAAAAGATTAAGAAAGATGAAGGAGAACCGAACGACTTTTTAACAACGGACGTGGCCATAATGTTCAAGCGGGAAAAACTTGAAAAGAAAATGAATGAAAGCCCAAAGTCTTAGGCAGGGGAATGGAATTTAAAATTTTGTTTAATATTTACTATCAGGGCATGGCCTTAGATTCGCACAGTTGGTAATTACCCTTTGCCGGCAGCCCCTAGAGAGAGAGATCCAATTCCAACATTCTTATAACGAACTAATCCTCAAAAACTAGACAGCTCATCCTGTGAAGCACCCAAGCAACCATCTACCAATATATATATACAGAACGGATCTCCATAACAGACCTACTTACTCAATTGTTTCTCGCTCACTTCACATGCCACCCCCCCGCCCCCCCCTTCATGGGTTCTAGGAAAATGCCAGGAAGAAGCACCTTCGAAGGAGGAGGCTCAGGCACCAGGCTCCTCGATTCTAATGCATTTCCAAACCCTGATGGCAATCGAAATCCTGCTGCTGCTGCTGCAGTGGCAGAAGCAGAAGCAGAAGGAGCTGCAGCGCCAGGAGCATCATCATCATCGTCTCCTCTTGTTGTTTCGTGTGGCATGTCATCATTAGGATGTCGCACTGTGCACTATAAACTCGGCTAATACCCTGTGGCAAGTGAAAGAGGGGCATATTAGAAGGTGTTTCATTGTCTAGAAGTTACTTCAAACTTTTTCTTAGATTTTTTAACATTTTAAGTCATTAATTTGAAATCTAAAAATGTGAAATAATATTAAACATTCACCTTTTAAGTTGAATTCCCAAAGTAATGAGTATTTTTTTTGTGACAAAATTCACCCTTAAGGCTAGCTACTTGTTGTATTTTGGTCCTACGAGTTGGATAACCCTGACCCCTGACCCCCTTGACTACTGGTGTGCTGCTCTTCTGTTTCTGCGGCGGCTCTAATGCATTTTTCATGCATACATTTAGCAAACGTTCGCCAATCAGACGATGCCGCTACTTGAAGCCTGTCTGTCTCTTTCGACCCCCTTCGATACCGCTTCCCTGTACCCTTCTACCCCTTCTACCCCTTCTACCCCTTCTACCCCTTCTACCCACCCTTCTACCTCCCCTTCACCCATTTTGGCAGCCCACCTGTCTTTTTGTCCGTCCGGAACTCAACTCGACTGCAGTTTTTTGGTATTTGTCATGTTGACAAATTGCAATGCCAACCAACATATGTGGAACTATTCGAGGTAACCCAAGGATATACAAGGGGGTGGGGGGTGGGTGTGGATGTAGAAGTGGGAGGTGGTGTTACCGATTGAGGGGCTGCCGCTCACAAGTCCCAAATCCATATGCAAATGCCATTGACAGGTGGGCAGGCGCAGGTAATCTGCATGACAATCTTTTTTTTTTTTTCTTTTTTTTTTTTAGTCCTGTTTGGCTAAATGCACCGAGAGAAATCCGATAGGTAATTGGCTTAAAGTGTTTGATTAAATTACTTAATTGATAAGATTAAATTAGAAATTGCCATTGATTGGCACTGGCACTGGGTAATGGCTTTGTTTTCAAACAGAAAGAGAGAGTGAGTTGTCTTGAAAAACTTTCCAAGTTTGCAAGTTTCTTTGGCTGATTATTATTTTTTATATTAATATTAACTTTAATATGCTTTACTAACTAGTTTTCCTTTAAGTGCACTTTAGACCTAAAACAAAATTAAACCTTCATTGGGCATAGAAATGCAGCGATTCGCAACCCATTCAAATTCGATTGGGCTGTGGAATTTTTGCCGTTTAGTACATCGGATTGCTCTTGAACAATTGCATTTTAATTGCAGTTACAATTGCAGGCACTTTCCACGCCACGAATATCGCTCGACGTTTCAGTCAACGTTTCGGGGCCCAAAATGCTAATCAAGTTTTGGCCGCTTTCCGCTTCCGTTGCTGATTTCCATCGGTTAATCAATGGTGCCTCCCTCACCTCCCCCCCACCCAAAACGCATCGTTTCAATTTCAGTTTTTAGTTTAGTTTCACTTTACCAGAGAACGTGCTGATTTTTGTGTTTTGCAATTATCGGCGATATGTTTCGTGTCTTATTTTTATTTATATTTACAATTTACGATTTACGTTTCACGGGTATCTTGTGGTTTTTCGCCTAAGGCCTTGAATTTGATGAGATCATCGAATAGCCCAGGCCAGGCCATATCGAAAAATAAACAAAGAGAGAGAGATCTTGTTTGTTTTTCCAAGGAAACAGGAGAGTTCCTACTCCTCTGTTTTGGGCGGTAGGGTAGGAAAACTAAATAAGCAAACTGAAATTCTGAAAAACAAATCACCGAAACGTGAGCGACATTTTCGAGCAGACATCGGAGATAAAGCGAGAAAGCCCCCCTTGGAAGTAAATATGAGGAAGTGGGCAAAAGATTGCCAAGATTAATGGGAAACATTTGTAATTGAAAGGTACAAGGTATTTGCTTTCAATTTTCTGACCTCGAACTTGGCTAACTTTGCTTTTGGTTAAAACCGAAAAATTTGATTTATTTCCAAAAGGTTTTCTAAGCTTTTGCAATGGTTTTTTGTACTCTTTTGTGGCCATGAAATGTCTGAAAACCAAAAAAAGATCATTAATAAGAATGCTAAAAATCTGATATCTGCCTTTAGTTTGGGTTTGCAATTTGATAAGAAAAAGGTTTAAGTTGCTTCTTAAGACTATTTATTATCATTCTTGTTAATAGTTCAATAAGTAAACAATCTGAAACAAAGTCCGATTCATTCGACGTCTTTCAGCACTTTGGACAACCGATTCGAATGAGTCCCAGTCTAAGTTAATTTATATTCCCCACAAAGCCAGTTCCGTTTGAATAACAATATTTAGTTTGACCGCAGGGGCAGCAGATAATTACGTTTTTATATTGTTTATTTTTTCTTATTAATTAACAACTGCAGTCGGTGTGTTGATGCTGAGAGATGCTCACGTGAAGCATCCGTTGGATTGTTTTCCAGGAATACTCCATTCTAAACAGACAATTTATTTGCTAATTATTTAAGGCCACAATTTGCAAATAATGTCGATACAATCGAACAGCATACATATATGTATATATCTTTCGATATATATATAGATGGATGTTCGAGTAGAAATTCCCCCGAGCCCAGAATTATTCCAGTTTTCCCCTCTGCGCCTCTACCATTTCAGTGCGA